TTCAGAACTTTTCATCTTGCAAAACAAACTGTATACCGTTAAAAAACAACTCTCCTTTTTTTCTGGCCCCCACCCTCTGGTAACCACCATTCTGCTTTCTGTTTCTATATTTCACTACTTTAAATACCTCATATAGGTGAAATCATACAGTATTGCCTTTTTGTGACTTGCTTATTTCACTTAGCATAATGTCCTTAAGGTTCATTCATGTTGTAGCATGTGACAGAATTTCCTTCTTTTTTAAGACTGAATAATGGGCCAGGTGCAGTGGCTCATGCCTAGTGCTTTGGGAGACTGAGGCGGGTGGATCAGCTGAGGTCAGGAGTTCGAGACCAGCTGGTCAACACGGTGAAACCCTGTCTTTACTAAGAATACAAAAATTAGCCAGGCGTGGTGGTGGGCATCTATAATGCCAGCTACTTGGGAGGCTGAGGCAGGAGAATTGCTTGAACCCTGGAGGTTCAAGATTGCCAAGATTGCCATTGCACTCTAGCCTGGGCATTAAGAGTGAAACTCCATCTCAAAAACAAAAAAACAGACTGAGTAATATACTACTATAGGTATATACCACGTTTTGCTTATCCATTTTTGTTTATCTTTTGGATATATGCCCAGAATTGGGATTGTTGGATCATATGGTAGTTCTTTTTTTAATTTTTTTGAGGAAACTGTTGTCCATAGCAATTGCACCATTTTACAATCCAACCAAAAGTACGTAAGGACTCCAGTTTTTCCAAATGCTTACAATTTGTTATTTTCTATTTTTTTATCTATGTGTTATCTGACTTTAAAAAATTTTAGTCATCTGGCCCAGCACAGTGGCTTGTATCTGTGATCCCAGCACTTTGGGAGGCCAAGGCAGATGGATCACTTGAAGCCAGGAATTCGAGACCAGTCTGGCCAACATGGTGAAACCCTGTCTCTACTAAAAATACAAAAAAATTAGCCAGGTTTGGTGGTGCATGCCTGTAGCTACTCTGGAGGCTGAGGCAGGAGAATTGCTTGAACCTGGGAGGCAGAGGTTGCAGTGAGCCGAGATTGTGCCACTGCACTCCCACCTGAGCAACGGAGTGAGACTCCGTCTTAAAAAAAAGTAAATAAAAATGTTAGTCATCCTAGTGTATATGAAGTGGTGTTTTGATTTGCATTTCCCTAATAGCTCATGATGTTGAGCATTTTTGCATGTTCTTGCTTATTGGCCATTTGTGTATCTTGGAGAAATGTCTATTCATATCCTTTGTTCCCTTTTTTAAAAAAAAATTATTTTAAGTTCAAGGGTATAAGTGTAGTTACATAGGTAACTGTAACTTGTTACATAGGTAAACTTGTGTCATAGGGGTTTGTTATACAGATTATTTCATCACCCAGGTATTAAGCCTAGTACCCATTAGCTTTGCTTGTTTTTTAATTGACTTATTGATCTTTTTATTACTGAGTTGTAAATGTTCTTTATATATTCTGGTTACAAATCTTTTATCAGATATATGATTTGCAAATGTTTTCTCTAGTTCTGTGAGTTGTCTTTTCATTTTCTCAGTAATAGTATTTGGAGAATTTTAATTTTGGAACACTAGTATATTTTCTAATTGCTTTGTGTTCTAATGAGAACTAGATCAGAGATGATGGATTGGTTTACCCTGATTTACTTATATCTAAAAAGTTTATGTTTAAAATGTGCTTCAAAGAGAAATAATAGCACTAAAATACTCATCTAATTCCTTATAGGCATTTAGGAATAAATACTTTAAAAGATGCATTTTTAATAATAATCTGTTAGTGTTAAGAGAAATGGTAACAGGAAAAGCCAATAATTTATTACCCTTTGTTTGTCATGTCATCTTGGTTACTAATTTGTATTGGTTGGCTTCTTTCCTCCCTGTAGGGAAAAGTAATAGAACCTCTGAAAGATTTTCATAAAGATGAAGTGAGAATTTTGGGCAGAGAACTTGGACTTCCAGAAGAGTTAGTTTCCAGGCATCCATTTCCAGGTAAAAATTAGAATTGAATTTTGTTTGATTCATCTTTTTTTTTTTTTTTTTTTTGAGACAGAGTCTTGCTCTGTCACCCAGGCTGGAGTGCAGTGGCGTGATCTCGGCTCACTGCAAGCTCCACCTTCCGGGTTCACGCCATTCTCCTGCCTCAGCCTCCCGAGTAGCTAGAACTACAGGTGCCCACCACCATGCCCGGCTAATTTTTGTTTGTATTTTAGTAGAGACGGGGTTTCACCGTGTTAGCCAGGATGGTCTCAATCTCCTGACCTCGTGATCTGCCCACCTCGGCCTCCCAAAGTGCTGGGATTACAGGCGTGAGCCACTGCGCCCGACCTAATTCATCTTTAGACCTTCATGTTGAAGAAAAATCAAATCATACAATTCTGAAATAATCTGTCATCTCAGGGAATATGTAACATGAGAGAAAGGAAAGGATGGTTAGGGAATAATTGAAATCTTTTGAGTATCTACTGTATTTACTTCATTTTATTAAATACTCATTTTCCATTGTCTTTACGTTTCAGTGTTACATTATCCTTGGGAGTTTGGCATCTGATGTTGCCATCAGATGAGAAAACCAAGACATAAAGATATTTTAATAACATTGCCACACAGTCCTAGTAGTAGAGCTAGGATTTGTTATATTCTTTGTACCATACCATAGTCTTTTCCATGGAAGATGTGAGGATTTAAACTTAGCTCTTTAAAATCCTTGTCCTATGTCTGACTTGTTTGAATGGATGAACCACTTCTTCTTGGCACAATGTAACTAATTCCTGAACAAATAGTACTCCATTTGCTGTCATATAGAAAAAAATTAGAGGTGATACTTGTTTAAAGTTAGGACTGCAGGTCTTAACCTGTTTTTGTTACTATTTCTTGAGAGGTTGGGCAAGTCTGTACCTCAGGTTCTAGCTCACTGTAATAGTGATTAGGGGATGATTTGGGAGAATGACCTAATCGAATTGAAAAACAGAATAATAGCCAACATTTCTTGAGTACTCTATGTGCTAGGCACTCTGCTAAATACTTTTATTGTCTTATTTAATCTTCACAGTGGAAACTAGTATTATCCTGTTTTACAGATGAAGAAACTTAGGGGAAGCAACTAATTTGCCAAAAGTTAGGCAGATTGAAAGGAGTGGAGCCAGAATTATATCCCCAATAATTTTTAGCTCTGAGTTTATACTCTTAATGATCATATTGGCTCCATAAACAGCTTTACAAATGTGTAACCTATGTGGTGATTAGCACTTGTTCTCAAATCTAGTAATCAGATTGAGATCTTTAGTCCCTAACCTGCATGCTGGCAAAGAATGGTCTGTGGACTGGCGTGTGGCTCATGCCTGTACCCCTGAGTCTACTAAAAATACAAAAGTTAGCCAGGTGTGGTGGCAGGCACCTGTAATTCCAGCTACTCGGGAGACTAAGGCAGGAGAATCGCTTGAACCCAGGAGGCGGAGGTTGCTGTGAGCCGAGATTATACCACGGCACTCCAACCTCGGCAACAGAGCACAACTCCATCTTGAAAAAAAAAAAAACATGGTCTGTGAATGTAATGGAGGGAAGCCAAATGTTCTATGTCCTTGGTCATTATTTCATCTAGACTCACTTGATGTTTTAAAAATCTACTTTGTATGTTGAGTTGTCTGTTATGTAAGATTTCATTAGCAAAAATTGTTTTGCTACTTTAAAAACTATCTTAAATATGCTGTTTATTCTAAAGGTAAAGAATGGACTAGGAAATTAATGGACATAGCTGAGGTTTTGCCTACAACTAGGCATCTCAAGTGATGCCTCTTCTGTTGTAGTAAAGCAGCAGAATCCAGTTTTTCATACGTCTATGCACACCTTGTGTTTTTACGAACTTTTAAGTATTTGGTAAAATGGAAGTCGAGTGCAGTGACTCATGCCTGTAATTCCAGCACTTCAGGAAGCCTAGGCGGGCGGATCACTTGAGGTCAGGAGTTCCAGACCAGCCTGGCCAACGCAGTGAAACCCAGTCTCTACTAAAAATACAAGAAATTAGCTGGGCGTGGTTGTGCATGCCTGTACTAGGTACTACTGGTGGCTGCTAGGGGAGGGTAAGGCAGGAGAATCTCTTGAACTCGGGAGGTGGAAGTTGCAGTGAGCTCAAATTGTCCCACTGCCCTTCAGCGTGGGTGATAGAATGAGAGTCTGTCAAAATAAAATAAAATAGAAATACCAGTTCACATTTTTTGGTATTAAAAACTCACATTATTTATTTGATTATGTATATATTTTAACAGTATAGTACCATTCCTAAAATCAGATTGATAGTCGAAGTTGGATGATGAGTAAGGTGGTTAATTATACTGTTCTCTTTATGTGTATGTTGGAAAATTCCCTTATTAAAAACTTTGAATAGATTGGCACATATAAACTAAAAATATTAACTGGATAATTTTGTGATACTTAATACATGGACTGTAAAAATAGGATAGGCCAAGTGCAGTCAGTGGCTCACGCCTATAATTCCAGCATTTCCAGAAGCTGAGCTTCTGGAGTTCAAGACCAGTCTGAACAGCATAGTGAAACCCCTGCCTTTACTGAAAAAATTAGCCAGGCACGGCTGCGTGTGCTTGTAATCCCAGCTATTTAGGAGGCTGAGGTGGGAGGACTGCTTGAGCTCAGGAATTTGATGCTGCAGTCAGCAATAATTGCACCACTGCACTCCAGCCTTGGTGACAGAGCAAGACTCTATCTCTTAAAAAGAGAGACAGGAATGATAGGGAGAGAATTAAACATGTTGTCTTATTTGAGCCTCACAATGGAAACTAGGATAGTATTATCCTGTTTTATAGATGAAGAAACTTAGGGACAGAGACTAACATGCCGAAAAGGTATGCAGACTAAAAAGTGTGTATAACTTAAATGTTGCGGCATTCTAAATGTTACAACATTTTTAGAATGTTGAAGCATTCTAAAGAATGCTGAGTTGAATGGGAAACTAATAGCTACACTTGGATACTTATGATGGCAGATGGATTTTAATTTTGGAAAGGTTTTATATTTTGAAAATAGTGGCATTTTTATGTTAGATTTTTTTATTGTAAATATAACATTAATGTTAAATACTTACTCTTACCTTTAGGTCCTGGCCTGGCAATCAGAGTTATATGTGCTGAAGAACCTTATATTTGTAAGGACTTTCCTGAAACCAACAATATTTTGAAAATAGTAGCTGATTTTTCTGCAAGTGTTAAAAAGGTAATATTTGATACAGCTAATCATTACAAGAAATTGAGTGGATTCTTACTATATACCAGCATTTATAATGAATTTTTTAGGGTTTTATTATTTGAAAATGTGGAGCAATGTAACCTTTGAAATGACTGTGGAGAAAGTATTCCACGGATATTCTTATATATACATTTTTCCTTCCAGCGAAACAAGACTGGATATCCTGAGTCTCTAAAAATGTCAGATAAAGTATTTTAAAGCACTGTCTTATGTGTATTGCAAGAAAGTAAGGGAAATCCTTTGAGTCAGGAATTTATTGGGAGCATCATTTCAAGAAACCAAAGCTGTCTGCTCCTCTGAGGACAGCCTCAAATCCTGTGTGGTCTAGGATTTGGGTTTTAACAATTTCATTTATGTACAGGTGTCTGAGTATGAGACTGGGTCCAAGAAGGGCCAGAGATTGGATCAGATATCTTCACACTATGCAACACTTTAGCTCCAAATTGAAGATGAATGGAAAAGTTCCCCAGTCTACTTTATTCTACAGATGTGGGGTTTTAATTTATGTAATGTGTGTGGTCTGAAAATTGCAACGTAAGAATTTTAAAGTGGATCTCGGTTGGTAGTGCTTATGGGAGTTAGGCAAGGAGCAATACAGATTCTCTTTAGAATATCTTCACCTAGGTCCCAAAGGATTCTCATAGATAGAATTCCAACAAATATGAGGTTATAATAAAAAATATAAATCACATATAGAAGTATGGCACCATGAATGAGAAGGGAAAAAACTGTCAGAACAAGACCCTCAGGACTTTACTGGAATTAACAAGCAATATGTAAAGTAAATAGAAATAAGCTATTGATAATAAGAATAATGTATAAGAGACTACTAAAAATAACTGGGCAGATTTGAAAATAAGTTCTGGGAATGAAAATAGTAACTGAAAAACAGCTTAAAGACAGAATTAATGAACTAAAAGAAAGTTGTTTAGAGATTATCCAGAAATTAGTACAAATCATCATAAAGAAAATATAGGTACAGAAGGTTAAGATAGAAGGATAAGGCAAGTGCTAACATATGTCCAGAAGGAAATAATAGACAAAAATGTATTAATTCCTCCACACTGGTAAAAGACATGATGGCTCAGATTCAGGAAACGTAACACATCTCAAGCGGAATAAAGGGAAATAATTTGACACCTAGTAAGCATATCTTAGAGAAATTAAAGACTGCCAAAGACAGAGCAGCTGCAGAGAACAGATCAATTACCTACCCAGGAAATTATACTGAAACAGTAAAGGTAAGACTTCAAAATGCTAAGAGAAAATAATTAACTGTAGTGAACAGCTGAACTGTCTTTTAAAAACAAGGGCAAAGTAAAGTTATTTTGAGATTACATAGAATTTACTACTAATAGTCCCTTGCTTTTGAAGTATACTATTCTTGATATATAGCCCTAGAATTTAATTGGTCTGAGATGGGACCTGAGCATCCCAAGTAATTTGTGCAGTTAGGGTTGAGAACTTTTTTTTTTTTTTTTTTTTTTTTGAGATGGAGTTTTGCTCTTGTTGCCCAGGCTAGAGTGCAATAGCACGATCTCGGCTTGCTGCAACCTCCATCTCCCAGGTTCAAGCCATTCTCCTGCCTCAGCCTCCCGAGTAGCTGGGATTACAGGCATGTGCCATCACTCCTGGCTACTTTTGTATTTTCAGTAGAGATGGGGTTTCTCCGTGTTGGTCAGGCTGGTCTCGAACTCCCGACCTCAGGTGATCCACCCGCCTTGGCCTCCCAAAGTGCTGGGATTACAGGTGTGAGCCACTGCGCCCGGCTGAGAACCATTGTTTTAAAGAACTGACTTCAGGAGAAACAGCAGGATACCAGGAGAAAGTCGTGAGTACAAGAAGGAATGCTAAGCAAAGAAAATGGTAAATGAGTAAAACTGAAACAAACGTGGACTGTATAAAATGATAAAAATAATTATAAAATTGGGAGTAGAGGTAATAAAAATGATACCTACTTGTTCTTGTTTATTAGAAAATATATAACAATGTTTAGCAGAAGTAACATGTAAGCCACAAAGGGATTGATTTGAGCTAAGGAATTCAAAGATGCCTGTATTATTTGCCAGAAGGACAGAAGATTGATTATCTTTTAAGTATCCTTGTTAACACTTAAGGGCAACTACTGCAAGAATAGAAATAGAGGATTTAACTTCAAAATTGGTAAAGAGGAAATAAATGAGCTGGGAGAAATCACCAGTTCAAAAGACAACAAAAAGAAGTAAGAGTAAAAAGTGGGATAAATAGATAATTACAGAATAAGATTGTAGAATGAAATTCAACTATATTGATAACTCATTAAAAGGACTGATATCCCTAGTTAAAACATAGACTGTCAAACTAGATTGAAAACTAAAATCTGTTTAGTATAGAATAGTAGATATGAAAAGTATAGTCTGTTCATAACAGGCATTACTAATACCTAGGGATAGGAGGAGTGAAAATTAAAGAATGGAAAAACATATACCAGGTAAATAAAGAAATGGGTAGAGCTATATTAATTTCAAACAGAACTGACTTTATGGCAAAAAGCATTAGAGATAATATTTGACTCAGATAAGGTGCATCACTTGCTGGTGACAGGGTACTAAAGCCTAAATGTATGTAAACATAATCTGCATTTCTTATCCTAAGACTTCTTCATAGTCCTAGCCCTCAGCTGTGAATTTCTGGCATAGTGCATAGCACACACAACTCAAGGAGATACCAAATACAATCCACTGCTAAAAACCAGTAAAATACATAAGATAGCAGTAGATAATAAAAGAGTGAATACCTTATTTCTTAAAACTGAAAAAATGCCTCTTTGGTTTTTCTCAGCCACATACCCTATTACAGAGAGTCAAAGCCTGCACAACAGAAGAGGATCAGGAGAAGCTGATGCAAATTACCAGTCTGCATTCACTGAATGCCTTCTTGCTGCCAATTAAAACTGTAGGTGTGCAGGTGAGTTGTGTGAATTCATTCGTCAGTGATACACTTTTTTTTTTTTCTTGAGACGGCCAGGCTGGAGTGCAGTGGCATGATCTCAGCTCATTGCAACCTCCGCCTCCTGGGTTCTAGCACTCTTTCTACTAATATTGAAATAAGGATTACTTAGAAAAATGAAACATGTAAGTATATATACCAAGTTTAGAGAAATAAGAAGGTAATTTTTTATAGAATGTTTAGGGAGTGAATAGTTACAGGAACTAAATAGGTTGAGATTTTGTAGTTTTGGAACATCTATGAACTCTAACCAAAGGCAAATATTGAAAGCAGCTCTTTCCTATAGGGTTGGCATGCTTATTTCTGCCATGTAGGGCAGGGATCAAGAGGTCATTTATCCTTCTAGATGTGAAATACACTATGGTTTTAGAAGTCTTTAACTGCAGGAAGGCCTCCAGATGTAAGTTACACCATTTAGGTGTTGTTCTCAGCTTGTGTATTCCCTGTGCTAGGGAACATGTTCTGCTGATGTTTTTTGTGTTTATTCTGCCTTTCTAGTTGTAAAAGAACATGAGAATAATATAGTTCTCAATTATAAAATGCTACTTGCAAAATGACTAATAACATAATTTCAGACAAAACTTACTTTATGGCAAAAAGCATTAGAGATAATATTTGACTCAGATAAGGTGCATCACGTGCTGGTGACAGGGTACTAAAGCCTGAATGTATGTAAATATAATCTGCATTTCTTTTTTTTTTTTTTTTTCTTTTCTTTGAGACAGAGTCTAGCTCTGTCGCCCAGGCTGGAGTGCAGTGGCCGGATCTCAGCTCACTGCAAGCTCCGCCTCCCGGGTTCACGGAATTCTCCTGCCTCAGCCTCCCGAGTAGTTGGGACTACAGGCGCCCGCCACCTCACCCGGCTAGATTTTTTTTTGTATTTTTAGTAGAGACGGGGTTTTACCATGTTAGCCAGGATGGTCTTGATCTCCTGACCTCGTGATCCGCCCGTCTCGGCCTCCCAAAGTGCTGGGATTACAGGCTTGAGCCACCGCGCCTGGCCAATCTGCATTTCTTATCCTAAGACTTCTTCATAGTCCTAGCCCTCAACTGTGAATTTCTGGCATAGTGCCTAGCACACACAACTCAAGGAGATACCAAATACAATCACCTGCTAAAAACCAGTAAAATACATAAGATAGTATGTTAATTTCTCCTCTTTTTCTGGAGACAGGGTCTTGCCCTGTCTCCCAGGCTGGAGTGCAGTGATGTGATCATGGTGTACTATAGCCCTGAATTCCTGGGCTCTAGCGACCCTCCTATCTCAGCTTCCCAAGTAGCTGGGACTACAGGCATGCACCATCATGCCTGGCTAATTTTTAAATTTTTTTTATGGAGATAGGGTCTCACTGCATTGCTCAGGCTGGCTTTGAAATTCTGGCCTCAAGTGATCCTTCACTTTGTCCTCCCAAAGTGTTAGGATTGGAATCGTGAGCCACTGTGCCCGGCCTTCTTTATATGATCCTTAAATGAGTTTTTGGGGAACAAAAGTGTGGGAGGGTAGGGAAGAGGAAGGTTATTTTACTTCAAGTGTGTGGTTAAATGGAAACTAGAAGAGGTGTCAGTAATTCAACTCAAAAATGGTATAAGTGCCAGTTATTGGGTTAATGTGTTTATAATGTGCTCTTACAGTAAAATTATGTGTAGAAAGAAGTTCTACTGTTTTAGAGATTATTCATCTAAAACCTAATAAGCATTTTTTCTAAATATATGAATCTGTCAGTTTAAATTCCTCTTTGCTCTGAATTCATGCAGTTCTGCTTGTAAATAAAAGAAGATAAAAAGTGGTTGTTGCCAGGTGCAGTGGCTCATGCCTGTAATCCCAGCACTTTGGGAGACCGAGTTGAGCGGATCACCTGAGGTCGGGAGTTCAAGACCAACCTGACCAACATGCAGAAACCCCATCTCCACTAAAATTATAAAATAAGCCGGGTGTGGTGGCGCATGCCTGTAATCCCAGCTGCTCGGGAGGCTGAGGCAGGAGAATTGCTTGAACCCAGGAGGCGGAAGTTGCAGTGGGCCAAGATTGTGCCATTGCACTCCAGCCTGGGCAACATCAGCAAAACTCCATCTTAAAAAAGAAAAAATTGATTGTTATTTTTAAAGTAAACTAAAATATTTTATTTCATGAAAGTGATAGAGCCAGCTATTTGGGTTAAGGAACTCTTGCCTTCTTTTTAAAGGCAAAATGTTGTAAGCTGCTTATGTTGTTTTAAAATCACTATTGAAATAACCTTACTTGGAGTTATTGATGTTTTCTTTCAGTGGTTTATGGATTATCTCATTCACATACAAATTTATTTTGAAATTTGCAATGATACTTACAGGCAGTATTACCCTAATATATAAAAATAGAATTGTGGACAGGTTATTTAATTCTTAAAAGTTTCTCAGTTTTAAGTAGATTTGTTACAGAGAACTTCCACGTCTTTATGCTAACTCATGCTACACAGGGAGTTGAGTTGAAATAGTTCCCTACTCTTCTTTTTAGAGAAATGTTACAAAAAATAGATATTTGAGGTAATTTGATGAATAAGTGATTTCTTTTTTGAAAATGAAACTTATTCAGGCTCTACTACTATTCCCACCAAAATAAAATTTTCTTTTGTTATTGGATAACTGACTTTCGTCTCTTACCCTTTGAAGCTTAGACCTTTGCAAGCCCAGATAAAAATGATGGTTCATGGTTAGTATAAGAACGCATTTTATTTTCTAAATACCGAAGTAAACCATATTTGTAAAAAATCAAAAATACATTAAAAAAATTCTTTTTATTTCTACTCTCCAGTTAAGTTTTGTATGTGTCTTTCCAGAAACACTTTAAAAAGAAAATAGGGGATTTGGGGTACACATTGTCAACTTTTCTTTTAACTGAGCATCATGAACTTACCTTTCTGTGCCTTTCCAAGTAGATTGTCCTTAACTGTTCCCTCATATTCTATGCATACCATCATTTATTTAACTATTCTTCTAACCAGTGGGCATTTAAACTGTTCTCAGTTTTTTATTATATAGGCATCCCATCAGTTATCCATGTATTTATGTAGGATCATTTTCTGTGTTAAATGTACATTTTACACTTTTTTTTTTTTTTTTTTTTTTGAGATGGAGTCTTGCTCTGTTGCCCAGGCTGGAGTGCAGTGGCATGATCTCAGCTCACTGCAACCTCCACCTCCCAGGTTCAAGCGATTCTCCTGTCTAAGCCTCCTGAGTAGCTGGGGTTACAGGCACACGCCGCCATGCCTGGATAATTTTTTGTATTTTAGTAGAGACGGGGTTTCACTATGTTTCCTAGGCTGGTCTCGAATTCCTGAGCTCAGGCAATCCACCCGCCTTGGCCTCCCAAAGTGCTAGGATTACAGGCATGAGCCACCACGCCCGGCCCATTTTACACTTTTATAGATGCTATCACATTAGCGTTCACATATGTTGAATTTTCGCGTTCTTAGTACCTGCCACTCTGGGCATTAGGTACTTCTCTAATCTGTTACTTTTTAAAATGCTTTTCATAAAAAAAACAAATTACTTGGATTAAACAGGACACAGGAAAAGAGAATAAATTATAATCAGTTTTATTTACTTATTTTAAAATTAGCTTTTAAGCTGATACTTAAACACATTGATAAGTAAATGTTTATGAATCGTTTTTGTCTCCCACTTAAGAATTCTTTATCCACTCAAAAAACATGGGCAGATGTTGTTTGCCAAATTACAATTTTTCATAATTTTATTTATTTATTTTTGAAATGGGGTCTTACTCTGTTGCCCAGGCTAGAGTACAGTGGTATGATCACTGCTCACTATAGCCTCGACCTCCTTGGGCTCAGGTGATCCTCCCACCTCAGCTTCCTGAGTAGCGGGAACTACAGGTACATGCCACCACACTACCCAGCTAAGTTTTGTATATTTTGTAGAGACAGGGTGTTGCCATGTTGTCCAGGCTGGTCTCAAACTTCTGGGTTCCACTGACCCACCCACCTCGCCCTCCCAAAGTGCTAGAATTATAGGTGTGAGCTTCTGTACCTGGCCTTGTCTGCCAAATTATCCACAATTAGCAGGTAATGGGAATGTTGAATAAATTCTTTTTTTTTTTTTTTTTTTGAGACAGAGTTTCGCTCTGTCACCCAGCCTGGAGTGCAGTGACGTGCTCTCTCAACTCACTGCAACCTCCGCCTCCCAGGATCAAGCGATTATCCTGCCTCAGCCTCCCAAGTGGCTGGGACTACAGGTTCATGCCACCATGCCCAGCTAATTTTTATATTTTTAGTAGAGACGGGGTTTCATCATGTTGGCCAGGCTGGTCTTGAACTCCTGAGACCTCAGGTGATCTGCCCACCTCGGCCTCCCAAAGTGCTGGGATTACAGGCATTAGCCACCGTGCTCAGCCTAAATTCTTGATATTACCATGATACCTTATGTATGTCTTAACTGATTCAGGTAGGATTTAATATGGGATTTTAATTTGGAATTTATTCATACCATTAAAGAAACATCTAGTATATACTTTCATTCAGATTTCAAAAAAACTATTAATAGTGTCACCATGCATAAGATATTTTTCAATGCATCTTTTCTTTTAAAAAAAAACAGCGTTGTCAAGTTAAACCGAGTTTAAGTTTAAAGTCAAGTTAAACTTTTGACTGTTAAAAATTATTGATTATTTTTTTATTTTCAGGGTGACTGTCGTTCCTACAGTTACGTGTGTGGAATCTCCAGTAAAGATGAACCTGACTGGGAATCACTTATTTTTCTGGCTAGGCTTATACCTCGCATGTGTCACAACGTTAACAGGTGTGTTTCACAGGAGCTAGGGTGGGGACATGTGTAATGGAAGGATGTGCTTCTTAAGGGCTTTCCATTAATGAAAGACCAAAAGGCTCAAATGTAGATATAGGTAGGTCATGTAGGTAAGAGTAAATGGCTATGTTTGCAATTCAAATATGCACATAGGTCGCAGTTAAGTAGATATGTAATATTATCTTGTGTTTTGACTCTTTATCACAATGTAATCATCTGTTAAAAATTATTTAAAGGAGAAAGATTTTTTATTTTAGTGTAAAATATTAAAGGCAGCTGTAAAACATATCTTCTAAATTAGTGGCTTATATTAGCTATTGGTTTTATGGTGACATGTTTTATTCCAGAAGGATTGAAAAAATGTATGTCCAGGTTACAGAATTACAAATAAAGTAACACACACACACACCCACCCACCCCTACAAAACAGCCAACCACCCACCCCACAAACAAAAATGGAGACTTGGTTAATTTAGTAGTAACCCCAAGGAAAAAATCGAAGAAATGGGCATGTGCCAGATAGCATTAAAATAGTTACATTTAAATATATAATTTACATTTTAGGTTAATTTTCCTTTAATTTGCATATTAATTTCTTACATTGGATATATCAACAGCTGATTTATAATCTATTTCTAATACTCAATTTCATCATACCATATATAGTTTAAAAATTCACTTATTTTGTACTAGATTGCTAATTAAATTTTCTTATTTCACAGTTATTCTCTCTCTTCAATTTTCTTCATGGGTGTTAGGCAGTTAACAACCAAAAAGAATTACTTGAGATTTCATTTTGCTCAAATTGCTGCAGAAATCAGAAGCTTACCTTTTAATGTTAACCTAGCAGAGTCTGTATAGTTAGAGATAAGGAGTTACAGGGAAGCCGTGTTTTTACCGATGGGAACATGCTCATTCAAAAGCTTACTCAAATGAACTGAAGACCCCCAAATACAGAAGCATCTTTCATATGCTGAAAAATGGAATTATTAATATCTTCAATAATGGAGGCCAGGCATGGTGGATCACTTGAGCTTAGGAGTTTGAGAACATCCTGGACAAAATGGTGAAACTCCATCTCTACAAAAAATACAAAAATTAGCCAGACATGGTGGTGTGTGCCTGTAGTCCCAGCTACTTGGGAGTCTGAGGTGGGAGGATCGCGTGAGCCTGGGAGGTTGCCTTGAGCCAAAATCGTGCCACTGCAATCCAGCGTGGGCAACAGAGTGAAACCCTTTCTCAAAAACAAAACAAAACAAACAAAAAAACTTCAATAATGATAAATTTTTAATTGCCTATTTTGAGTGGACATAATTGTCTTGGTTAGAACAGTGGCTCATAATTTGCCTATCACAGAGAAAATTTCCCTAAATTGAACTGCACACTTTTACTGTATAATTAGTGTATTTCTTCATTCACAGCATTCTTACAGTTTTATCTCCTTTTTCTTTTGCCGAAGGGCACACATCCTTGTTTAAACTTTATGTTTATATTCCAGTTTCTCTCTCTTTTCCCTATTTGTCTCTTCTTCCTTCCTCCCTTCTCAAAAAAGAAAAAAATAAAAAGCCTAACAATCAGCAAACAAAAAACTAGATTTTCCCAGCAAGCTCTTAAAAGAATCTTGGTGAACTTGGCCGGGCACGGTGGCTCACGCCTGTGATCCCAGCACTTTGGGAGGGCGAGGCGGGAGGATCACGAGGTCAGGAAATCGAGACCATCCTGACTAACACAGCGAAACCCCGTCTCTACTAAAAATAAAAAAAAAATTAGCTGGGCGTGGTGGCGGGCACCTGTAGTCCCAGCTACTCGGGAGGCTGAGGCAGGAGAATGGCGTGAACCCAGGAGGCAGAGCTTGCAGTGAGCCGAGATCACACCACTGCACTCCAGCCTGGGCGACAGAGCGAGACTCCGTCTCAAAAAAAAAAGAGAATCTTGGTGAACTTTAGATTTCTTTGCTGGGGTCTTTTTGGGGAATTGGAGTTTTAAAATATTCTTCCATGTTTGCCAGTTTTTTTCCTAATTTGGATGAGGGAATCTTTGTACAGGGAGGGACTGTTCCAGTTTTACTGTCATATATAGTGTGGGTAAATACCTGTGCCAGTACACTCTAGTGATTTTGTATGTAAGAAGTGAGAAGGTTTAAAAAGCAGGTTCATGGTATTCTCTTAACTTTCTCCTCTAAAGATCTTTTATGAGCTTTAGGAACTATATTGTTTAGAAAAAGTATAACTTACTGTCTATGCATGGGATAACAAGCTTGTTTCTGTTGTAGTATGTTTGGAAGGAGACAATAAAGTCGGTGGTGGTGTCAGTGGTTTTGTGCTAATATGGTTTTCTTTTGTGTATTTTACCTAAGTACATATTAAGAAAAAAAGAAAAAACATTAAACTTCACCATGATAGTTGCCAGGGAGTTTTATTTTCTTTGCTAAAATCATGACTGATGAAAAGTGACAATTGTCTACTGGCTGGAGTAGGGAGAACTAGCTAAGTGGCACTCATATCTCTACCCTGATTCCCTCTTGTTTTCTGGGTGAAGATTGTGAAACAGATCCCTTCAAACCAATGGCCAGCTACACACTTCAAGTTGTTAAAATTGTCTGATTCTGATTTCCTCAAGTTATGTTCCAAACTATACTCTCATTGACTGTCATTAACATGAAGATATTTGTGGTATATCTTCATGTCTTTCAAACAGACATTTATATAAAACAGTAATGAATTTTTTTTTGGAAGGAAGTAGTAGGATACTAAGTCCTATTTCAATGGCCCTTTTAATGAAGTGCAAATGAGAATCTCTCTAGGATCATTGTTTCTCAAGTAGATAAAAAAAGATGAGTTTACTAATTTTGGGAAATTCACTGTAGTTTCCTCTTGGAGATTTCCAGTGCATGTTAGCATAGTATATTAATAGTTTCTGAAGTCTTGTCATAAAGGCACCTATTTTTAAATTTTAACTATGTGTATTTGTTTCCTAGGACTACCCATAACAAATTACCAGAAACTGGGAGGCTTAAAACAACAGACATTTATTCTCTCACAGTTTAGGAGGCCAGAAGTCTGAATTCAGTGTTGGCAAGGTCATATTCTCTCTGAAGACTCTAGTGGAGGATCCTTCCTTGCCTCTTCCTACTATTGGATGGTTGCTAACAATGCTTGGCTTGTGGCAGCATAATCCAGTCAGTCTTTGTGTTCACATGATCCTCATTCCCCTATGTATGTCTGTGTATCCAAATTTTCCGGTACTTGAAAGGATACCAGTCATTGGATTAGAGCCTATCCTAATCCAGTATTACTTCATTTTAACTTGATTACATTTGCAGAGACCCTTTTTCTCCCCAGAGATTCTGGGTGGACATGAAGTTTTGGGGATACTCTTTGACCCAGTATGTTAAGTCAAAAGAGAGTCGTAATAATCACTTATATCTTTGCACATTCTGAGATACAGAATGTTCCAGAGAACACACTTTGAGGAAAGCACATAGAACACAGACCTTCCTATAATCTTACATGTTGTCCTATCCATTTGAGGAGATGAAGTGGGCAGGAGAAGGGCCTAAAACTAAGTGGGAAATGGAAAGAATGTTACTGTTCTGAGTGCCTTGCTTCTCATACTGAAATGTAATTTCTACATTTAAAATGTAATTGCTCTATTATTTTTACCTCTTTGTTTCCAGAGTTGTTTATACATTTGGCCCACCAGTTAAAGAACCTCCTACAGATGTTACTCCCACTTTCTTGACAACAGGGGTGCTCAGTACTTTACGCCAAGCAGATTTTGAGGCCCATAACATTCTCAGGGAGTCTGGTAAGTTGCTCATGTTTTTGATCACTACCCTCTGAAACTAGTTTTTGGAAGGTTGACATTAAGAGTAGGAGGATGTAGCTTTTGCTTTTTAGATGCTTTTGTTTTTATTATTTAAATCTTTGAATGTTCTATGATGTTGCTTTTTTTTTTTTTTGAGACAGAGTCTGTCTTGCTGTGTCACCTAGGCTGAAGTGCAGTGGCACAATCTTGGTTCACTTCAGCCTCCGCCTCCTGTTACAAGTGATTCTCCTGCCTCAGTCTCCTGAGTAACTGGGATTACAGGCGCCCGCTACCACACCTGGCTATTTTTTTGTAGTTTTAGTAGAGATGGGGGTTTTGCTGTTTTGGCCAGGCTGATCTTGAACTCCTGACCTCAGGTGATAAGGTCAGGAGTCAGGTGAGGCCAGCCTTGGCCTCCCAGAGTGTTGGGATTACAGGTGTGAGCCACCGCACCTAGCTTATAATGTTGCTTCTAAATAAAATATATTCACCTTTGTGGCAATTTGTGGGTATGCACAGAGCAGCAGCAAATTTGAATTTCCAGACTTAGATGTTCCCAGCTGAGTTTGAACAAGATGACACTGTGCCTTCTTGTTCCAGCTCTCATAATGTGAACAAGTCTTTTTCATGGTCTCCTTGATGAAATATCTTTTGCATTTTTATGCTTTTTGTTAGTGATTTTGCTGTTTAAAATGGATCTCAAGTATAGTGTTGAAGTGCTGTCTGGGTTCCTAAGCACAGGAATGCTGTGATGTACCTCACAGAGAAAATCTGTGTGTTAGATAAACTTCATTCAGGCATGAGTTAAAGAGCTATTGATTTTGAGTTCAGTATGAATGAATCTATAATAAATATTAAATACAGTGTCTTAAATCAGAAACATACATAAAACAAGGTTATATATTAATTGATGAAAATATTGCAACCAGAGGCTTGCAGGGACCTAACCCTCCGTATCCCCTGGGAGAAATGGTTCAATATTCACTAATTCATTGTTTGCAGTGTAGAATATAACTATACTGCAAATTATAATAGAGAATAATGAGAATGGACTCTTTCTATAGCACATCAGTGAAACATCACTGATGTGATCAAATTCTGTTTTTTGCATTTGTGGTTGAGTCCAATTAAAATGCTCTGCAAGTAGCTAGAATCAATGCATGATCACAGTCTTAATTATGCTGTGTGTGTATATGTGATTTCAGATATTGTCTGGGAGGATTTAATTGAACTGAGAGTGCTTTTCTATGGTGCGGTGATTGGTTCTACATGTACCTTTCTCTAGGGTATGCTGGGAAAATCAGCCAGATGCCGGTGATTTTGACACCATTACATTTTGATCGGGACCCACTTCAAAAGCAGCCTTCATGCCAGAGATCTGTGGTTATTCGAACCTTTATTACTAGTGACTTCATGACTGGTATACCTGCAACACCTGGCAATGAGATCCCTGTAGAGGTAATTTATATATTTTTTTCTAATGCATGTTCTCAGTGCCTCTTACATTTTATAATACAGTGAATGGAATAGGCTGTGCCAGTGCTGTATTTCTGATGTTGGTTTTCTGTTCATAAGATAGGCCTTTTTTTTTTTTTTTTAAATTTTCACATATTTGATTAATACACTGGGGCAGAAAAAGGCCTTAAGTTATAAATGCTCTCCAAATGTCTGATTACTATATAAACAGTAATCAATTATAATAATTTTATCTAATCCTGCCAGTTTCTACTTTACAAATAGTATTCCCCAAATAAAGAAGAAAACTCTAGGAGTGAAGAAGAGTTTGTTAGAAATAAGGATGCAATTTGATAGCTTTATGGCCAGACACCCAAGAATTGCCTAAATATTCTCCCTACTACCAATTCCAACTCAATTTTTGATCCTTCTTTGTTTTCACCAGAACATTCCAAAGGAGCTACTTGCATAATAGCAAGTGAAAATCAAAGTGAGACTCTGTCTCACAGTTGGGCCGCTGCCTCCAGTGCACTAACACGAGGCTGTGGTTGTAGCTAGGTAGATGGGTTGGGGAATGTGGCTTAGTTAGTTTTCTCTTAGACTCAAATTTGCCAAATTTGACAAGTGAGCAGGCTATCCTCTCTTCCTGTATACTTGATAATGATTAATGGCCCTTAGAGTTGTATGTTTAAGCTGCAGATAATTTGCAGAGCATTGGCTGAAACACATAAAATCACATGCCTGGATGCCACAGCAATGTCAAATCACTGTATGTTCTTAAGCATTTGTTGTAGCTCAGTCACAAACACAAATCGCAGACTAGCACCTGTTTGTGGATCACACTTTGAGTAGTACTGAGTTTAAGTCACAATATTTTAAACCTTAATAACTTAAACCTATCCCTGCAGAGGGGAATAGGTTCATTCTATAAGATTAATCGGAAACCATCCCATATACGTGGAGGACAATAGTGAAAATAGTCAACTTTTAATTTTAAATTAGAAATGTAAGCCCTCTAGGACTGCTGGACATGCAGTGGATGCTGACTTTTCTCTGTAATTTTTTTTAATAGGTGGTATTAAAGATGGTCACTGAGATTAAGAAGATTCCTGGTATTTCTCGAATTATGTATGACTTAACATCAAAGCCCCCAGGAACTACTGAGTGGGAGTAATAAACTTCTTGTTCTATTAAAGTACCGTGTGCAGTTTAAATTGATTAGAAATCATTCCCATTATTGACATGCAGTACTGTGAAAAGAGTTACTGGAGCAGCTACATCACATCTGAGTTCTCCACAGCAAAAATCTGCGGCTTAAGAGCTGAGTTGGGGATAACCAAAAGGGACTGAAGAATTTGTACGGGTAAATAATCAAGGCACCATTGCCTACACTCAGACAGATTGATACTGCTTTTGCCTTTGCCTCACTTATTCTTTATGTATAAATTCACTGTTGCTATTGATGTCTCTGTGAAGATGTATGAAGGTGGGTGAGTTTGGGGGTAAGTTACGGGCTTCTGTCTCTTTGCCAGTTTCTAAGAACTGTTAGAAACACCCATTATTTACCAGTGTTACATACTATGTATATATACTTTTTGGAGAATCAGTTTTCTTGTAAGTAATCTTACTTCTCCAAAGGGTGAAAAAGAGATGAACATATCAGATAAAGGTATAGGTGGGCTATTCCAGCCACTTTTGAAGGACACTGAGGGTATAAAATGTAAGCTACCATAAAATGGAAAAGCACCAGGAATTTATTGATGTACTTTTGAATTTTATTTCACAGCCTTGGGAGGAAGAAACTGTGAGTGGTCTCAGATGTCTGAATGATCTTAAAATGTTTTCAAACCATGTTCCACATAGATGCCATGTTATTCAATGTCAGCTTGTTCATTAGTAAGGAGCTTTATCCTCCTAGCCTTATATTACCAGCCCCCCACAGCCTTGCATAGAATGTTTCTGTTATCTCCCTAGAAGAAACTGGCTCAGTGACATTTCTGGTGTAGTGCAGATAGAGGTCAAGAGGAGCATTTTCATCTCTTCTTTTGCTGGTCCGAGAAACAGCTCTGAGATCACAGAAGCCATGATGCATACCTACAGCTTACAAATGGGAGAGCAAAAATGTTTATATCTTCTAGTAAACAGTTGTAAAATGACCTCTTAGATCTAATCTATAGACATATTATTCGTTGCTCAGACATCTGTGAACAGTCTTGATCCATGCAAGATGTTTGCCAAACTTTGTAATCCTTTCTACTAGCTATAAGAGAGAATTTAAGAACTGGTGCAGGACTTGTTGCCATCGCCACCAGTTTCTAACAGATCTTTTATAACATTCACATAAGTACTGTAGACGGTAGTAGACTTAAACTCTCCGTTTCTCTCAGTATTTTAGCTAAGAATGTTACCATATTTTTCTCTTACCAATTCCATCTCAGGTTGCTGCTGCTTTTCTAGTTTAAAAGGTCAGATCTATTAATCAGGTGTGAAATTTTATTTGGGATTCAGTGTTAGATAAACAACAAAATGATGCATGGCAAATGATGCATTTTATTCTGGCTGGTCCAGAGAACAAGAAAACCGCTGCTGGACCAGCAAGGGAAGAGTTTCTGTCTGTCTTAACAGAAATCTGTGCCCAAGACAAAGGGGTACTTGACTCCTACAAAACTTAAAGGGTACATTCTCTATCCTGATGAGGAGGTACTCATTATGGTCTTCTGGAAAGAGGCTATGTTAGTGATCTGGTTTAGATTTAGAGTCATGTTATTTGAGAGCTAGAATAGACAGCCTATAAAATGCTTACCAACATGTGTCAGTACACGTTTATGTTTATATGGAAAAAAAAATTCTAGCCACAGTGTCTTACTATTTTGTGTTGAAGCAAACAATAGGAATTTTGGGAAAATAGATAGTAAGAATGTGTGTTCCCTAAGTATGTTATATGGAACACTGCTCCACTGAGAAGGTCCATGTAAAAAGGATTAGGTGGTCATACAAGTTTGGGGAGAATAAGCTCAGTTGTCCTTTCTTGGAGATTCATGGTATACAATATTCAAAGCTCTGAGAAATTCTGAAGTTAAAAACAATTGCTAAATTCTGCTTAATTTAGTGTTTTCCTGATACTTGTTTTTTGAACACCTTTTATATAATCCCTCCTAATATATAAATACAATATTGGAAAAATTGTTTCTCCAAAACACGTCTTCACATGACATAGTTTCTTAAAAATCTATATTTTCTGGAACTCAGAAATTTCCTAATATTTAGCACACAGTCTTCTTTTGCACAGCACTTTTTGCTTTGTGTCATATAGCATTACTCTGTACCTTCACAGTATTTCATCTGAGCCACTGAGGAAAATTAAAGGTTGCACTTCCATTTTACAGTTAAGAAAATAAACTCATCTTAGGCATGGTTCCCTAATGAATTTCAGAATTAAATTTCAGGTTTCCTTAGTCTAGATTGTCCTTTCCGTACGTGTATTCTGACACCTAAAATTATGTAAACTTATGAGCTGCTTATTTTCAACTAAGACTAGAATGGTGGCTACCAGGCTAATAACATTCATCATTGGTTATGCTGGGTATATCATGACTTTATTCCCATTGCTTACCATCTACCTGGGACACATCTCTCTTTAATTAAATATATTCTTTTTCTTTGTACCTTTTAGGTAGACAGAACAATGCAGATCATTGAAAGCATTATTTATTCCTAAGATAGGCAGGCACAGAATCATTTTTAAGAACCAAATACCCAGTCCTGCCTAAAGGCCCCATCTATGATCATCAGCTCTGTTAGAAATAACAGCCTGGCATAATTCCTAAATGCAGGTCTGTAGATGTATCCAGGAGATAGGGTTACACTGTTTTCCAACCTTTTTTTAATCCCTTAATCTTGAGGTAAACTGCATGCATTTAGTCAAACATCATAAAAGTTTGTGTCCTCACTGTTTGGGCTTAACCTCCTGATAGTCTATTTTGCTGAATAACTTGATCCTAACCTGTAGAGATAAGAGCGTTCAAATTAGGAAGGCAGGACTATCCATCTTTAGTGCTTTGCTCTGCCATTAAACAACACTGTGAACTTGGTCAAGTCATTTTTGTTGTTTATCTGTGACATGAGATAACTATATTAAATTTTCAACATCAAATCCAGCCATCAATTTGTATTTTACAAACAAGAAAAAGCAAAGCAGGAGACAGAATGGAGAAGCTGGATAGTGTTGGTTTTTTGTTTTTTTTTTAAGTTCTTTTATTGTCAGATACGACACAAAGGGAAACATCAAAATGCACTGTAAAGTTAAATCCTAGTTACCTTTTTTTTGAAGCTGTTGGCAAGGTTTGACCACTTGAGGAATCTTCTGCTGTGAGATAACACTTGAAAAACACCCATCAACGTTTCCTGGTAGGAATCTGTCTTTACTGCGTGTTTTTTTGAAAAGCTGACAGAGAATATGCTTTGGCTTTGACACTAATGAAGTCACCCATCATCAGTTATATACAGCTAATTGTTGGGAGCTAGAGCTAGAATCCAAGCTTTCTGATTCTCTGCATGAAAGAGGTAATGCTCTAGGGCCCTTCAGGGCAAATCTTAAAAAGGAAGTTCTTAGTGTGTAATTGACCATCAGGGATAAATGGGCTTCGAAAGTGTTAATTGTCTCTTTACTTACAGTGAGTTTCTAGAGATAGCCGTGTCTTTCAGAAATTCTCTGACATCCTCTTGCCCAATGTTAAAACCACTTTTCCACACTACTCCCCTCCAGAAATCTTACTCATATGTGGCGAGGGCACACCTTAGCTATCACCCCAATGGATGCTGCTTTCATTGACCCAAATCCAGAATGTAATGGGGAACTGAATACAAGTTGGATGTCTCCACCCTTGGAAAGCACATCTTTTGTTCTTACTGAAGTAATTTAACAACACCAGCTGATGGAGGGATCACGATATCTTTTTAATCACTGAAGGACTTTGACAGCAGTAATGATGGCATTGTTGACTCTTTAAATTTCTGAACGTTTCACTTAATGGCAAGTGAAGAGATACGGAATCCCCCAAAGAGTATCAAGATGCTAACTTGCAACCCTATTTTTATGTACTGAAGAGGCCTCAGTGTCTCACTGAACTCTTAACCTTTTTGTCAGTGTTCCTCAATACTTCATGCCTATTACATAACCTGGAGTTAAAAATACAATATGCCCAATTAAATAATTGGATAGTTATTTAATCAGACACCATGGTCTGATGTCCAATTAAATAAAATTAGAATCTGGAGGTAGAACTCAAGCATTTACAGTTTTAAATCTCCCAGCCAGAATAAATTCTTACTGAGGGCCATATCTAGCCTATCTTCATCAAACTTACAGGTGAATCTTTGTCAAACCTATAGGAGAGAAATGCAGGCCATAGAGACAGTCTTGCTGAAGGTCTTAGAGCTAAATTAGTTCATATCCAGGAACCAGATTCTGGAACTGATTATACCTTTATTATGTTGTATGTCAGACACTCCCAGGACCTGTTTGGTAATAATTAGGACAACTGACATACTTGTTGCTAATTTCGAGATCTGGGCAACAACTGTGTAGGCTGTTCTTTCAACCTCGTTCTTCCTACTTCTTTACTTTTCCTTCAGAGAGGAGAACGCCACCCCTATGCTGTAGCCACTGCTCCAGTTCTGACTCTAGCTAGGTCATGAAACAGACTGAGCTATTACTGCACCAACACATAAATCCTCCTGCCATTTGGGTATTATTCTTTAGAGAACTAGAGATTACCTACCTGCAACCTAAGTTTCCTGAGTTAGAATCATTTGAGCAGCACCATCTTAATTAACTCATTAACATATTTGTAGCCAGGCATGGTGGCGCATGTCTGTAATCCCAGCACTTTGGGAGGCTGAGGCGGGCGGATCTCTTGAGGTCAGGAGTTCGAGACCAGTGTGGCCAACATGGTGAAACCCCATCTCTACTAAAAATGTAAAAATTAGCAGGGCCTGGTGGCGCGCGCATGTAATCCCAGCTATTCGGAAGGCTGAGGTGTGAGAGTCACTTAAACCCAGGAGATGGAGGTTGCAGTGAGCAGAGATTGCACCACTGCACTCCAACCTGGGTGACAAGAGTGAGATGCCGTCTCAAAACAAAAACAACATATTTGTTCACTTTTGAACCCTGTGGTGTCTTTTAACTTTGTTACGGGCCCTTGGTTAGCAAAAT